CAGAGTGGGAGCTCACACTAGACGGGGCAGGCAAGACCTAGAACAGAAGTGGTGATAAGGGTTTAAAAACTGGCTCTAGAGAAGTGGTTCCACAGGGATTCCAGAATGACAGCTAAGTCAGAACACAGGTACGTGTAAACTGTCAGGTTAGAGTAAGATCAATATGCACTTGTTGCATCCTGTGCAGGAGATATCTCCATCTGCAAAGTAGGATCCTTCCAGGCTGAGTGCTCACTGGTATTCCAGGGTTCTGTCTTCTAGCCTCTGTTGTCAGAATAATGAGCTCTCTCAAAATGACTGATTTAGCAGGTCACACGAATCCCGGTTTCATTGATGAACGGCGGCAGTTTGGGCAGCCACGCGTCCCATTGGTCTGGAGGCATCTGGAATAAGAAACGGTCATTTCTCACAGTGCACGCATATAAAAGGAGGTGCAGTGGTTTCTGATTTACAGACCCAGACTCCTATTCCAGCAGTGGGGAAGAAAGTGGCTTAGGGCCTGTCTACACAAACCCTTTAATAGGTTCATACATCTACTCTCCAGTCCCACAATGACATTTAAGGAGTGCTAGATGCTATTACTACCAACAGTTAGGGACAGGAGAAGCTAAACAAATTACTAAATGTGTTTGTTTCTTAATAATGTGAAAGATAAGATGGTGGATTACTCCTTGAAGGGGAGTCATTGATTTTGTATAAAATATGGCAGAACATCAAGAAGTCTGCTCTGTATTTTAGTGATTTAGCATATTCAGACTGTAGGACAGTCCTACTCTGGGCACTAAAATAGGGGTTTTCTGTTACTTTTATTCTTTCACAAATGCCTCTCTAGCCCTTTCCCATAAATCTCTGCTGAATTCCTGTATTATCCTATTTCCCCTTGAAGGAATCCCTCCATAACCACCTGCCCTCTCCCTTGTGCTCATTACTTTAAGTGGAAGAAATGTGAGCAAGGCAGCGCCTGGAGCTGGTTGTTCTTCTCCCCAATGGACTCTCCACACATGCCGCAGTACAGCTCCATTTCCTCTACACACTCGTGGAACTTCACCACATGGTCACGAAGTTCCCGTTGCTGTCCCTTTGTGCGATAGATCCCTTCACACAGGCAGTGAAGCTTCAGCAGTCCAAGCTGTGCACAGAGGGCAGAGGCATGAGAGAGGATGGGGCATGGTGAAGGAGAACCAATAGCAAGGGGAGAGTACTTGATGGAAGAGGTCTTCACCAGCCCCACCAGGCATCTGGGACACTTATGAGCCTCACCATAGAAAACACAAACTTGGTTGGTCAGGATTTATCTTATATGTATCTAAAGGCCCTCCCATCTATCTTTACACTTTTGTCCCTGTATGCCACTAAAGAGGATTACAGGGTTGCAGCACTTCTATCACTCCATCTTTTCATAGAGTTGGCTTTCCTAGGCACCTGCAGACCATGTCACCTGCACTTTCTTCTAGTTGCTGGTCAGTATGCAATCTATGCACTGTGCTCAGCATATATCAGGAGAGTCTCCCTGAAGTTAGCCAGCCAGTAAATTAATGCCATGTAGCTATTTGTTGGGGAAGGGACTATTAGTCCTCCACTTCCCCTCTCTGCTGTTATTTTCCAACAATTTGTCTCCCTCTTCCCACTTGTTTAACCCACAATGGCTCCCAACTAAACTTTCTAAGGTTGTCTCAATTGCCATCATCCACCCAACCCATTCAGAATGCTCCTCTACTACTGACTCATACCAAAAATAGTTCACATTCTATACCCAAGAAACTCAGCCTGAGCCTCCAGGATCAACTGGTTAACATGGGCTTATGAAAGATAACGGGGAGGAGTGTGAAATTGGAAGATAAGAGTGGGCATCCAAATCCCCATTAGAGAACTCTTGACACTGGGAGGGGAGCTGTGGAATCTTACCTTGTTCCCCAGTCCCTCTGCCAGCTCTTGAGCCTTCTCAATGCCTTCCAGTGCCTGTAAAGGAGAAAGCATAGACCTCATATATCAATCAGCATATCGCCAGTTCTCATGTCAACCGTTTAGCACCAGTTCTGCATGGTGAGTGACATGCTGGGAATTAAAAGTCTAAGGAACAAGGAGGAAATGGCATTAGGAGTAATAAAACATTCCTACACTCCATAGAAGCAAGAAAGCTCTGTGGTGGGATGTTCACACTCACAACATGCCCTCCCAAAGCTCAGTGAACTACGTGGTCACAAAAAGATCATAGCAATGCAACAGCAACAGTCTTACATGTTGAACAGGAAGTCAGAGTGCAGCCATGGCAAAGACTGGTGTCTCCAAAGGAAGAGGTTATAGAACCAAACTCCAGGGTAGTAAATCTCCAGGGCTGGGTTTAAGCATAATCAAAGCTATCAGTTGCTGTTCAATGCACCAAAGATGTTCCCCACCTCCTGGCTTACCAGTCTTTGGGCCACTTTCGTCTCTTTCCACTGGCACAAGAGGTGCAGGAACAAGGACCAGATTTGCTAACAGTGCACATGGATGCTAAGCAACTTGTCCTATTTCTGCTGCCCATGACCCCTGTACTGGATTATAGGAAGGAGCTGTTGCCCCTGCCTTGCCAGCCTGCAGCAAAGTAGCATTGTTCTAGCAGCTGCTATTCTGAGTAATCTTTACAGTTCCCCCACCCCTCAGAACAAGAAGAAAAAAATCCATGCTGATAATTAGCCTCTGTTCTCCAGGGTTCTGAGCAAATGACTTCAGGATTTCAGCTGGCAGTATTGGAGAAGGGGTTTTCCCATTAGACAGGATTATATAATTAGGCTTATTTTGGGATTTCCAACTTCCTAGAAGGCATCTGGCATTTATTGCTTTGGGAAATGGGATACCAAACTCAGTTTATTCCAGTGTGCTGGTGAATTAACAGGACCTTGATGGAGATGGACAAAATAATGAAGGATGTAGTCAAGTGGACTCCACAAAAAGAATATAGGGGTTATTCAATAAAATGAATAGCTGATCAATTTAGAACTCATAAAAGGAAAGCTTCCACTGACCGCCCTAATGAGTGTGGGGAACTTCTGGCTGCAGGTGCTAGAAAGCCCAATACTATGCAAGATTAAAAAAATATCTGACTTGACCCTAGACTGTGCCAGTCTGTCTAAAAATCACTAACTTTTCTTCTTCTTCCTGCTTTGCACTGTAGCACAAAACAGGCAGCAAGCCATCTTAATCAGCTGGTTAGGGATTCCCTCAGTGTAAACCTAGTGGTGGGGCAAGTTTGATTAGGGTAATAACAAGAGTGGGGGCATGTCTGCTGTTCTTTGGAAATCCTTAGGTAGCAGAATGGTCTTTTGGGGACTGTTACCGACCAGCACTGATTAGCCTTCAGGCTGCTCTAAATTGTCTTACAAACGTAAAGCCTACTTTGGCTCCGGTCTTCTTATCTGTGCTCAGCAGTTTGGCCAGCTGAGGATTCATATTATAGATAGAACTGGTAGCCAAACAGTTCCCATTACAAGACACTCTTGTTATATATTTCTAGTTTTGCCAAACTTTAATGATTTAGGCTGAAGTTTTCCATGCTGGGTATCTGTTCTGGCTAATTTTATTGGAAAAAAAATCTCAGTCAAAACTATTCTGTCATTTCTGAACATGAGGATAGGAGAAAAAATAGGTTGTATTGACAAGTGACCTTTTATTTTAAAAGCTCTAGTACCCATGCTTTTTCAAGGAGGGTGTAATGTATGGCAGGGCTACTCAACATATGGGCTGTATGCAGCCCACAGCCTGTTTGTTTGCGGCCCATGGGTAGAAGCCAAAACAAAAAAATAGTCAATATAATGGTCTTCTGTTAATATGTGTTTTAGTAGTTAAATTCCTGGACTGTCATTGCTCATTAAAAGTGCTGTCATATGGGTGGAAATCGGGTAAATGTTGCATTTTATTAATATCAGCAGAACTGACTTAAATGGGGCCTGTGTGTTGTGTGGTCTTGCCTTAATCTTTGTATTCATGCCCATCAGTGTGAAAGAAGCTATTTGCATATATATTTGCATGTATATGCAACCACACTTAAATTGTGTCCGTCGGCATGTGCTGTGAGTATCATTGTGGCCCCCGGGGCTTCCAAAGTTGAATAACCCTGTTGTATGGAATATGAGAGACTATTTATAATATTTGTATTGATACCAGTATTATAAATTAGCAAGTAATCTGATCTGACATGCCATGTAAGATATCTGTGAAAATGTTATGATTTGCCAAGTATGATAATTTTGTTTATATGTTTGTATCATATGTAACAAGATTTATAGATATGCATGATATCCAAATTTGTGCTGTTTTTCTGGGTCTCCACTGTTGGAGGCTAGGACTTCGGAATGGAGTCTGTTACTATATATAGAATACTATGGAGTCAAAGATGGCATCTGGGGCTGAATCTTCAGTGATCACAATGTTCTATGAGTGAGAGCGCAGAGGTTTAAGTCACTGCTCTGCAGATTACGGAGATAGATATATATAGATATATACCAATCTATCTATCTATCTATATAGATAGATAGATAGATAGATAGATAGATAGATATAAGGAATGTGACTGTGGTAGAAACTGACCTTAGGGAGTGCATATGGACTCTGGATGGAAGCAGGTTATGCCCTTGATAAGTGATTATGTAACCAGAGACTTATTTGAATAGTCTTTGAGCCAATATCTCAGAGCTTTGGGATCTTTCTGTGGACAAAAGAGTTTAGGGGATATTCTAAAGTCCTTAGTCTTCTTCAGATAGAAGACTAGTTTTCTGACATATAGCATATGAAGAATCGTCTCCCTGTTGTCATTTTTTTTTTTTTTTGGTGGGGGTGCCGGCGGCGGCGGGGGGGGGGAGGGGAACCCTCCCAGAGATCGATCTGTTGGTTAAAGTGGAAAATGCAGAGACAATAGGAAGAAATCTTAAATATGACCTTAGAGATACTTTGTCTTTAAAAAATGAATGTTGGATGTGCCATCAGGGCCACTATTTCTTCTATGTGCCTTGGTGAAGTGATGTCAAATAGAAATGCAGTTGTCATGGACACAAGTACGAGACAGTAAGTTACTATGGACTCAAAGGGAGGTCTAGAAAAAGCCATGAGAAGTAGTTTAGAATCCCAGGCTGAAGGGGGTGGTGTCACATGCGGGAAGAAATTCCCAGTGCCCTTAAAGAGTCTACACCTCAGCAGGTAAGCAAACACTGAGTATTTGTCTACTCGGGGGGGGCGGAGGGGGGAAGACATTTTCACCACAAGACATAACTTAAGGTAGCTGAGTGATAAGTTTTGACCGCTTGAAGTCTAAAATGTAATGTAAAATCAAAGGGAGGGAAGATGAAGTTGGGGCTTTGTGTTTAGAATGGCAAAACTTGGAATCCTTTTCACTTCATAGGTAAGTATGTCAAGTGGTCAGCTTTGACTGTGTACCATCACATCTTTTAGCTCATCAGAGTATTCTGCCTTGAAGCCAAGAAGGAGCCATGTTTGGAGGTGAAGGACCCACAGGCTGAGGTGAAGGATCAACCCATTGTTTTGAGAGATCAGATGAGCAATGAGCCAAATAGGAATAGGAGGACATATTGCCATCTGTGTCTGGTTAGGGAGCCAGACTTGTCTTGTCCAAGAGGGGCAATCAAAATAACTCTTGTTTTGTCTTGTTGAATTTTCAACAGGGCCTTGGACATGAGAGAAATGGGAAAAGGCATACAGGAGGTCCCCGTCCATAGGACGATGAAGACATTTCCCCGTTAATGTTTTTCCCTGGCCAGCCCTGGGGCAGTAACAAGGACATTTCTTATTCCAGTAAGTAGGGAAGAGATCAGTACTCAGGTTCCCCAAAATCCGAATATATGTCAAAGCACCTCTGAGTTCAGCTCTCACTCATGGTTGTTACAGAAATTCCAGCTGAGAATGCCAGCTGTCACGTTCTGTGTCCTTTGTGAGTAGATAGCTCTCAGAGCCCTTTTTTACCAGCCTTTACAGGAGGAGCCTACTGGGTGTTTTTAATGACTCTAGCCCCTCTGAAGGTAAAGGCTCTGCGGATGATCCCTCAGCACTGGAGTCCCCTGGAGACTGAAGTGCTTTCTCCATAAGGAAGTGTTTAAATTTCAGCTCCCAGTTCCTGTGAAATTGCCATTATTGCTGTGGCAGGTGAAGCACTTCTGTGAGGCTGTCCCACGTTTCAGACACAGTGAGAATGTCTGGCTGATATAGGAACTGCTTTCAGGATAGGCACTACTTAGACCTGGGAGAGTGGAGCATGTCCCTGGGCGGAGGGGCTATCAATCTCTAGCAATAAGGAATGCAGAAGAAAGGTTTTCTTTACTCCTCTTCTTGCTTTTCTGGTTACCTGTTTGAACTCTACTCCCCTGCTCTCAGGTGACCAATCCTCAGACCTCTTCTTTGAGTTATTTTTGAAATTTGAAAGTTCCATTCCTATTTGCATGGTGGGTTCTCAGTACATCTTTATAGCTAGCCATGGCTGCTCAATGCACCAGGAGATCCTCTGCTTGGAGCCAAGCCAAGGTGCTGGACCTCAGCAGCATTTAGGGAGAGGAGCAGTCCCTGCTGCACTCCAGCCATAGGAATTATGATAGCTACAAGCAGATATCAAGATGTATGACCAAAAGGGGCCATGACAGAGACATGCTTCAGTGCAGCGTTAAACTGAAGGAGCTGTGAAACACCTACTACCAGGCATGGGAAGCAAACCACTTGCTCTAGGGCTGCACCCATGACCTGCACGTTCAACAAAGAGCTGGATGACATACTTGGAGGCGACCCCACTCCACTCTGAAGACACCAGTGTATAATTCAGGGACTCAGAGGACACCTGGAAGTGGACTGTGACAGGAGGAGGAAGTTGTGGCAGTGTACGCAGAGGGAGAAGAGAGACCCAGAGCAAGAGGACTCAGCAGCCATAGAGGCTTGCAGTCAGGAGCTGTTCTGCAGCCCTGAAAAGGTAAGCCACTCACAAC